GAAGATTTTGACGCAAAAGTGGATAAGTGTCTGCTTGAAAATCAGGAACGAGAATCATGTAGGATTTCAAAGTTTGTTGCAGACTGCCAATTCCTTTTAAGGCTTAATTCACCCTTCAAGGAGAGATGTATCTAAAAAAGGTGAAATGAAAATGGTTTTTAGAATGGGATACTTACTAATTGATCTTGTGGTCAAATTAATCCATTAAAAGTATAAAAAGTGTTTTGTAGTACCTGTTACAATTTTTTTTGGTTTAAAGCCAAGTCATCCCTGTACTTTGAAATTTTATTCGTTCCCATCCCTATACTAAGGATTTGTTTAGTTTCATCCCTCTACTCCACCAAAGAGCCAAATGTCATCCCTCTACTCCTCTTTTTTGGTTCATTGTCATCCTTTTCCTAACACCATTCATGTTGCCATCAGTGCTGACCATTAATTCCCAAATGATCAGCAATTAATGCATTTGTTTAACAATTTTTTCCACATGTGCTAGCTTGTGGGAACCACCTTTCCACATGTGCTGCCACCCAATCTAATAAAAATGACTCTCCTTTTCATTTATCTCTTTACATATTCCCCCAAATGCTTTGTAGAGACCCTATGCCCAAATTCCTTCAAATTTTAACTAATAAAATAGCAAGGAGTTATACAATAAACTTTTCACCAATAAAAAAAAGTTAACATATAACTAACACCATAAAATAGCATTGTAAAATCCAAACCAAGAAACAAAAAGAAAGAAAAAACAACTTAACATAACATAACAAAAATGTGTAAAGTCCAAATGAACAAGCAAATTAAACTTTTAAAATACAAAAATGTAATTTGAAATTCATGGGAAATAAAATAGTATCACAGAAAGAAAAAGTAATGGTTTACTTCACTCTTTCAAAATTAAGACAAATTTTTTTAACCTTATCTCGCCCTACAAAAAAAAAAAAAAAGGAAAAAAAACGTATAATTCAACTAATTAAATATTTACTCAATGACAATGTGTAATTACTAAAACAACATCAAAATTAAGATTTAAAATGCTAATATCAATTCTTCCTTGCTTATTAGAAATAGCAACAATATATTTATTCACTTTTTCTTCCTCTCTCTCTTATTTGGTCTCTTTTTCCTATCTTTTTCATCATTTACTTTTTCTTCCTTTCCCTATCTTATTTTATTCTCTCACAAATTACAAATTCTACTAAAGGTTTATTTCTTTTCTTACCCTTATTTTTGTATCTCAAGGCACTTCAATGTAAAAAAAATTATGGGGTCTTTTTTTATTTTTTAACAACTTATCAAAGTTGAATGCTTCTATACCCCTCACTCTTTCTTAATTGATGCTTTTCTTAGTATAATCTTTCACTTAGCGTATTTCTCTAACTCCACTATCAAAGTTCTTTTACCCCTTGACTTTTATCTCACAAACTACCTTTTGTTGATAAAACTAAAATTTCCTTTTGTATTTAAGTGTAAGATTATTTTATTTAACAACCTTTTTCGGATAATTGAGACTTCTATACTATATTTGAGTGATTTATCATGTCAATCACTAAAAAATAGTAATTTGCTGTATTTTAACTTTATAAATTTATATAATATCTAAAGTGATATATTAAGAATAATAAAAAAATGCAGTATATACTTTACAAATTGTTTAATGATATTATTATTATTTAATACAACGTATTAAAGTCAAAATATTATTTGGTATTTTATTATTAAAAGTGTTTTTTAATTTATATTATACTAAATTGCAAAATATAAACTCTTAAATTTAATATAGTTCAAATGATAAAATAATAATTTTTATTATTATTTATTTTTAATAATAAATTTTTATTTATATTTTTTCCTTTAAAAGTAATAAATATATATCCCAACAATCTACAAAGTGGGTTGAAAAATGCTAATTTCATTTAATCTAGGGC